ATTTAAAGAATAGATCTTCTGTGAACAAACAGAAACTGTTGGATATTATTTAAGGCTTTCTGACAAATTAAAAGAAATCAAAGATAAAGATAACGAAACTAAACTTCATGGGATAAAGGAGTTTCAGCTATTAATTCAAGAAAGTGAACTTAAAAGAAAAAGACTTACCGAAAGTTATAAGCAAAATTATTTTAATTCATTGCAAAAACTTAAATCTGAGGATTTTCATTCACCTAAATAATAATTTTGAACCTGTATCTCATAATTTGATAAAAGTTTAACATGAATAAACTTAATAAAGGATAAATGGGGTCTTTGCCTTGAAAATGATCTTATGAGATATGGTAATTACTATGTCCCGTAGGATCATTTTCAATGCAAAGACCCCAAATATTCGCATCTTTTATTACTGCGGTAAAACAATATATTAATAATCAATAGGCTTAATATATGTTAATATTTTTCTGTGATATTATTTTTAAATTTTTTAATACATAATTTATTGACAACAAAATATAGTTCTCTATTAATTAATCTTTCTCTATTATTCTATCTGTTATTTTTTATCTACATATTAAACCAATAGACGGTAAGTGTAGAATTTAATAATACATAATTTATTGATAACAAAATATAATTCTCTATTAATTAATTAATCTTTCTATATTATTCTATCTGTTATTTTTTATCTACATATAAAACTAATAGATGGTAAGTGTAGAATTTAATAATATATAATTTATTGACAACAAAATAAAAATCTCTATTAATTAATTAATCTTTTTCTATTCTTTTGTTATTTTCTTTGCTACATGTTAAATTAACAGTTTGTAAGTGTAAAATTTAATAATACATAATTTATTGATAACAAAATATAATTTTCTATTAATTAATTAATCTTTTTCTATTCTTCTATCTGTTATTTTTTACCTACATATTAAACTAATAGTCAGTAAATGTAGAATTTAATAATGCATAATTTGTTGACAACAAAATAGAATTCTTTATTAATTAATTAATCTTTCTCTATTCTTCTATCTGTTATCTATTATTCTCTTTGCTACGTGTTAAATCAACAGGGCGTAAGTGTAGAATTTAATAATACATAATTTATTGACAACAAAATATAATTATCTATTAATTAATTAATTTTTTATCTGTTATTCTCTTTGCTATATGTTAAATTAACCAGGAGTAAGTGTAGAATTTAATAATACATAATTTATTGATAACAAAATATAATTCTCTATTAATTAATTATGGTCTAGT